CGCCAAGAGGCTAAGTAGGGGAAAAACTTTACTTGCCGGACGCGCTGGCATGTCAATAAATCTTCGCTCCAAAGATGTTGCGTTTTGCATATTTATTGCTAATTAAACAAATGTGAAACAACTTCCCAAAGTCTAAAAACAATTCCTTTTGCTAGTGTTGAGTGATCAAAGACATCAAAGCGATCAAAGCGGTCAGCAAAAGTGAGACTTCCCCCCTCACCCTCTCAGTTCATTCATAAAAGCCGCCCGGTGAAGAACGGCTGATTTTACTACTATCGCTGCTGACGTACCACCAACACCACGTGACACATCCTCGTAAGTGACCAAATATGGCATGCAAAGAAACTTAATACAAAATACTACAATAACAATAACTGGCACCTACAATACATATATACATACATACATACATACATACATACATATCACCAATAGCCAATATCAATGATTTTATCTGTTTTTTTTCATCATTTATTCTTCTTTTGTGCCAGGGAAAGACAGAAATCTACACTATAAAAGCAAGAAAAGAAAAAACAAACAGTTTTAACGCCATTACATTACCTTTGAATGAGCACAGATTCAATAATACACATTTATAAAGCAACCTTTAACATAAACTTCTCACATGAAAAACATATTTCATTAATATAAGCAAAATGCCTTTTATTATATATGATATGTCATAATTCCCTCTCTAAAATCTATTTTAAAGTGCTGTGAAATCATCAACAAATTTCTCCCTCAAACAGCTGTCTTTATTCAAGTTTCTCTCCAAATGCTACATTTTACAAGATGGCACTGAACACATCATGAGGACGTTATAATTCACCTACTGATTTTTACTGAATAGAGCCTGAACGCATCACAATGTAAATTCAATGCAACCTCTGTGGACTGCTCATTGCAGGCACCAGCTGCTCAGAGGTAAGGATAAGTAGGTGTCCTCCTGATTTCAACACNCAACACAAACAAAAAGTTCCCTTTTAAACCCACATAATGTATGTTGTTGCAGACAAATGAGCATACAGTAAGTTATACAGTCAATTATAATAAACAAAAAGAAATGACATAATTTACATATTAAATACATCGCAACAAAAAGGTACACACTCACCTCTCTACGGTGCACTCATAAACACATCCAAAAAACAACTCAGGACCTGGGTCTGGCAACTGGCCTCACACTGTGCAATCAAAAGGAACCACACAGCATAAACCTCATGTCACAATATCACAAATGTCATACCGAAATAAAGAAAAACAAAAGTTCAACAATAATCAAAATACCTGCGAACCCCTGGCTCATGCATACCGGCTACCTCCCCTTCAGTGCAACTGCTCGGCCGACAGCAGTGCCCTGAAGAAAGTTTTACACTCGGTTCAACCATACACTTCACTATACTGCGAGCACGTAAATGTGATACAAGCAAGTAAATACAACAACACATATTATTATAAAGATGTTTTTACAACACTAAAAGTACTCACACAGCAATACAACAAGACGCTAACACGATGCCTGGCTTCTTAGCGGACCGCGAGGAGAAAGCGTTTTACTTCCGGTGTTGCAGGTAATTATGTCCTGACAGCCCCTGGCCAGTCAGAATGTCCCACCTGGCCACACTTACATACACAAATGCAAACAGTTCAATCATCCACACACTGGCCGTAAGCTAATATAGCCATATTTGGAGCCATTACCTGCAGCACGACACATGTCGTTTACCTTATTCGCTGCCCATGTGGTTTACGCACCAGGATCAGCTAACATAGAAGCAACATCAGAAAGGGGTGGTGAACGTAATCCAGTGGCTGCACACTTTAAACAGGCTAACCACAGTGTCAGCGCCCTCAGATATATCGGGGTGGAGAAAGTAGGGAAGCATCCGAGGGGAGGTGATCTAGAAAGAAAACTCCAGCGCGAAACTTTCTGTATCTATTTCCTCAACACCATGTCTCCTAATGGTTTAAATGAGGAATTTGATATAAAACCGTTTCTATAAGTATTAGCCTAATTAGACTCTGTGTAGCCTTATATGCCAGTGTTTTAAGGTGTCTTTGATTTTTATCATGTGCACTATTCCTGCTATTCCAATGACAGAATTATTGACCAGTCGTTTGGAATAGATATGATGTTTTTTGATTATTTCATCTCATGTATTACCGCTGTTTTTATTCTAGCCTAGTATTCTAATTTTTTTTGTGTGTAACTTCTTATATTCACTGTTGTCTTTTTGCTATACTGATATTGTAATATTCATTGCTTATCTATTGATATTTAATATTGTTGTTTTCTTCTTATTATTGTTAATTGTTTCTATTATATCACCCGCCCAGCTGTGATGGCAAGCACTGATTTTCTACCCGGTGACGTCACAGACGCGCCGGCCTAGTGTCCGGGCAGCTAAGCTGCCAGGACACTATTGTAATCCTAGGTATTCTTCTTCTTCTTTTTTCTTTATTCTTCCGAGGAAATCATACTTCCCATGGGTGAAAACTCACCAATCTTTGCACAAAGGTCCAGTCTCATGCCAGATATCCTCAGCTGTAAACTCAAGCCAATAGTCCTGATGGTGGCGCTACAGCAAGCGTCTATCAAAACTTTGAAAATTCATAACAAATCAACCATACGTGCTACAACTTCACAACTTTCATCAAACTGTAGCCCCAATACTGAAGAAACTTTCTTACATTTAAACCTATTAAAAATTATGAAGTTCATCACTCTGTTTTTTTTTTCAAAAACTGTAAAACTTCTTAAACCTATCTCCTCCCACAATTTTTGCTCAATTGACCCCAAACTTGCTACAGAGCATCTTCAGACTGTCCTACAAAAACTACGTTTCTCAGATTTTTGATTTATCAAAAAATTGAGCCTACAGTGCATCAGAATGTTTGACTATAAACAGTACTGTAAACACATACATGCAAATTCTTGCTAAATAAATCTTCAATGTTCATGAAAAAAAGACAAAATTCTAGAGTCATGGTAGATGATGTGTGGCAAATTTCAGAATTTTATCTCAAAAACTGAATTTTTGACAGCATTTTGAATTTTGCTCTAATGTGAACAATTGGAGTCAATGTAAAAATGGCAATTTTAAACAATCATTGTTACAAACAAATTACCAACATCTCCATGCTGTCTAGATGCAATATGTGTATTTTCAGAATTTTGTTTCAATAACTGAATTTTTGACAGTGGTTTGAAATCTGCTTTTCCACGTATGGACGGCTGCTAAACCTGCACGTCTGGCTTAGTCAATTTGTGAAGCTACACATAAGTTGTCACTGACTAATTAGCTCAGTGAGATAGAAATTGGTTCTTGCTTGCAGCTTTGAGCTAAATAAAAGCGGGAGCATAAACTCAGTGTGCGACACTTTACTTCTATTTTATAATCTGTTTTTTGACACTATGAGATGATATAAGCCATGTGTTTTAGCAGTTATGAGGCCATAGTTAGTGGTGTTCTACCCAACTACATTATATCCAGAGTTGTTTCTCCCCTTCATGTATTTAAATAGGGATGACCAAAAAAAGAAAAAAGAAAGAAAAACCTCTTACTGTAGTCCAGGGACCTTATTCACAACATTCTAAAGCTCCTAACTTAGCCTAAGAGCTTTTAATAAGGAGTCCTAGCTCTGAATGTTTTCAGAGCGACTGTGAGCAAGGAAAGGACAGAAACTTGTACCTTAGTGAGGAGGTGTGGTTTGCCCACGTTTAAACATATGATGCACTCTTTCAACAGATGTGATTGGTTATTATGTAAGGAAACTGCTCAACTTCAGCAAACACTGAAATGAAGAGACTCGAAGAACCACGGAGAAAAGTTATAGCCAACGGGGTTACTTTAATTGCATCGTACAACTTATACAACTCTGATTAAGAAACTCTTAAGCCTCTTAAAAGTCCTCCTCACTGCTCCGAACAGTTTTTCACCTTGGGAGCTCTAATAAGATCTGAGGACCTAGTCTTAACTTTAATGGGAAATTCTAAGAAAATGTCACAAGAATTAGAATCTTGTCAGGAGCAACTCTTTGTGCTAGGAAGCTTTGTGAATACGGCCCCAGAACTAGTTCAATAAAATACTGCAGTACTCCTCCAGCCTCTGAGCACCCACAGACCACCTGCTGGTTCCAGGCTACATTTCTGGGGAAGTTTGATGATGATGCACATGAAGAGTATTTGCTTTCAATATTTGATTCTGATACTGTGATTCTAATCCTGAATATTTTACTCATTGTTGACATCTTATATCTAAACTTAAATGGAGAGCTCAAGCAAGTTGATACATAATATAGATGAGACACTGTCTGTCAAAGATACTGTCAGAGTCACTATGGTGAAATGTGGGGTACAATCAGTGTTTGTGCTGTTGAAAATATGTGAATGAAATATGGCTGAAAACTGGATGCCAGTTGGTTGGCAAACAAAGAGCCTCTGGCTGGAAGCGACAACTTTAGATGGCTGTAACTGTGTATTCTACTGTATGTATTTTCCACATTATAGAAAAAGTTTACTTTCATGGTACAATTACGAACAATCAGATAAATTTGGGTTAATTGTATGAGTGAACATATTTTCTGCTGTTGTTTGAACATTTACCTGGAACTAATATTTTTAGTGACTGCGATGTTCTCACATGTAACAGTGGGAGAACTGGTTTGTCATCGCTCTGTGGTTTTGCAATTTTTCAAACATATCCACAATTTATCAGGAGATTAACTTTTACTGATCAGACACTCCCACAAAACTGTGTAGATGAAAAGAGGAATCAGTGAGGATTATTTTATCAAATGAGCAGTTCATCAAAGGAACTTCGTCTTCAGTCAACAGGTGAGAGTGGGAAAAGATAAATATGACATTAGGTGTTATAATACCTTTTTGCTGATGCTTTTTTCATTGTGATACCAGTATTTTAATTTTTTTCACTTCGTCTAGTGACAGTTAACACAATCAGTGCTGAAATTGGTTATCTTTATTCTCGCCCCACCAGGATTCTTCTGTTTTCCAGAGTGAAAATGGCTGATTATCAAGTGACCGTGTCCACTTCCTATCTGGATGATGCCGGCACTTGTGACCATGTCTTCATTAAGCTGGTGGGAAAGGATGGTGAGAGCAAACGCACGAGGCTCATGGACTCCAAGGGAGAGTCATCCTTCATCAGAGGAGCAGTAAGTCTGACATATCCCTCTCTGTGTTTAAATGTATAACACACATCCTCAACTTTTACCTATACGAGATTGTAGGCTCACTAAGTAGAAAAGGTTATGTAAACTCATACCAAATCAGACTCCTATGGGCCATGACGGCATATGTGCTGCTGTGCAACTCTTCATTTTACAGCCACAAAGATGAGCTACAAAAAAAAATCCCCCAAAAAGTGTAATTTATGCAGTGTACATACTGTGCATACCGCACAAGTTGTACTTTGTCCACCCTTCTACATTCAGTAATTGCATGCTAAGCATTGGGTTACTGCTCAGTTCTTTGTTACCAGATACACTTTATCTCTCATAAATGTTTTCAAACCATTTCTGTCCTTACTCCAGGTGTCTACTTTTACCATGTCCTGCCCTGCCTCCATTGGAAAGCTGGTCCTGATAGAGCTTGAAAAACAGCCTTCCCAAAATCCGGACAAATGGTTTCCCACCAAGGTGGAAGTGAAATCCCCCGAGGGAGACACCTTCAAGTTTCTCATCTGCCGATGGATCACTGACAGCGAGGTGTACCGCTTCAGAGAGGGAATAGGTTTGTGGAAATGTGTTTGTCTGACATCCTGTATGTTGTTTACTGACCACAGAAGAGATAAAAGAAAGACAAGTCCTGCAAGCTGCATTATAAGGAGGCTGGAGTAAATTAATTCCAACATACTGTAAACAATTTTAAACCTTGTTGTAGTTCTTCCTTCACACTCTGGGAGTCTTTCAAACACTGTAATTGTCCTTTTCAGCAGGAGTAGTACTTTATTTTGTTCCATTTTGGCAATTTCCCAAAAATAATGCACACAAAAAAGAATAGATAACAAAAAGGCATTAAAATGAAAAGGAAAACAAAAATTACTACATGCCTTGCCATATCCATTGCATGAGTAAGCTCCCTTGATGGATAGAGCTGTGATGGCCGAGTGGTTAAGGCGTTGGACTCGAAATCCAATGGGGTTTCCCTGCGTAGGTTCAAATCCTACTCACAGCGATTATTACTGTGTTTAATGATTAAATGTTGCAGGTGCAATATTACAATTCCTAAATGAGCCAACTGCCGTATCTGGTATCTGGGCTGCATGTCCATCAATACAAAGCCAAGACTAGCCAAACGCACAGGTTAAATAAAAAAGGTTAAGGCATTTGGCTCAGGAGGTAGAGCAGGTTGTCTAATAATCAGAAAATCAGAGGTTCAATCCCCGGCTCCTCCAGTCTGCATGTTAAAGTATCCTTCAGCAAGATAGTGAATCCCAAATTGCTCCAGTGGCTGATCCATCAATGTCTGAGTGCATTAAAATCTGAGTAGCAGGCAGCACCCTGCATGGTAGAGTTGGGTAAGGGTTACTTTAAAAGTAATCAAAGTACTTTACTGCATTACTTTTTTTTAAAGTAACCAGTTACTTTACTGCACTACTCCCTGAGAAAAGTAACTCAAGCACTTTTAAAGTACTTTTGAGTATTCTACTTGCCCTTCACTGAGATCCAGTTCTCCCATCACAGCCGTCACTTTGACCAGTAGAAACACAGAGCGATCTGCTGCCGTAGACAACTGTATGACAACAACACCCCAGCATTTTTAATATTTCCTCTAGGGATGTTACCACACAGAGTAAAAGGGGGAAATGATGGTGTGAAACAGCAGAGGCACTTTGTCAATCCGCTGAGTTAACGTTACTGTCATTAGCATCAAGCTAGCAAACAATG